GGCGCCATTTTTGAAATTGACAAGCCCAGAATAACTGCAAGTGTAGACATACCCTACATGATTAATAACATGATCATGTACAATTCTTTCTGCTGCTGAATTCATCTACCAAGTCTGTCCAAGATCCCAGCAGTTTGATTCTGCTTTTAATCCTTGTGAGAATCTCTGTGTCTTGCCCATCTCCCTAGCGGGGCAAATGTCAGCATTGTGGAGATCTGCAAGTTAGAGCTGAATGTCAGAAACAAAGAGATCCTGTAATTAGTATCTTGAACTTTAGACCTTAGAAGCACGATAGCCTAACAACCACATACTGTGGTATAATTTGGAAAATGACAGAAAAAGCACAAATTGGGATTCTGGGCAATGGCCAGTGGTAAATCTGTCCAAGAAGTGACAAACAGTCTTCAGGGCAAAGGAAGCCAGTCAGATACAGTCACTGCTAACTGCTTCACAAAGAAATGCTAGCTTTAGCTATAAAGAAGTCATCAGACGAGCAATTGGAAAGGACAGCCAAAAACACAGCAGAGGAGTTCTTGTTGAAAGAGTGACTGGAGGCTACCGTAAGGGCAGTCAGAGTTAGTGATAAACCTACCACACAATCTGACTGTCAGCTAGATTATCCAGGATGTGTGAGGGTAAAGCAAAGGCCAATACATTAAAACTGCTGAACTCTCATTTACTTTTTGCACAGAGCTGTTCATCACTGCAGGCTGTGAGTGATCAGACACTTGCATTTCAACAAAAGGGAGTGTAAACCCGACATATTCAAATGGTCCATTTTATTCAAACCAAGATTCCTGTTCTTATTCCATTTGTAGTTTGTACAAACAAGTCTGATGTTTACATTTGGATATAAAATGACCCTGATTTACCAAATTCTAATGTCTCTACTCCTCCTACCCCCCGCCTCCACATCCTGTCACCATTGACAATGCCAAAATCCCCATTGACTTCAGTGGTACAGGATCAGATCTTGAGTTTTTAATTAACTTTAATCTGGGAGACTGCCATTGGCTTCTGTGAAATTTTATGAACAGGTAGGAGTCATCCAACTCCAAATGTGTTCCCCCATTAATATAACTTGAGCCCACTATGGCAGCTCTAGCAGGGTTTTTGGAGACTTCAGGATTCAAACAAACAATGACACATCCTCCCAGTTGTAGGTCTTATGCAAGGTTGTAATGAAAGCCTTTGATTCAAACCTTTAGGCCATGTCTTCACTCTGGGGAAGATCAACAGTAGCACGATTGATCTTCCAGAGTTCAGTTTAGTGGGTATAGTAAAGACCTGCTAAATCAAACTCGGAGGGTGACCTTGTTTGTGGCCAGTACTGCTGCTCCTACAAGGAATAAGGGAAGCCAACAGGAACATTTGTGCCCATTGGCCTCCTTCTGTGGAGATGCTGAGGAAACTCAAATCTAGATACGTTGACTCCAACTTTGTAATTAACTTAGCTGGAGTTGCATATCTTGATTCAACCTTTCCCTTGAGTGTAGACATGGTCTTAGATTAAAGGCCAGAAGGGACTATCATGATCATCTTGCACCTCACAAGCAGGGAACTTTACCCACATACTCTTGTAATATGCCCACAAGTTCTGGCTGAGTTAATGAAGTCCTCAAATCTTGGTTTAAAAACTTCCATGCTATAGAGAATCCACGATTTCCTCTAGTTCAAGCCAGTAAGAGAGCTTGTGCTCCACACTGCAGAGGAAGGTGAAAACCTCCAGTGTCTCTGCCAAACTAACCCGAGGGAGAATTTCTTCTTGATCCCAAATATGGTGCTCAGTTAGATCCTGCCCTTTGGAAAACTCAGATCATATCCCCCATTCTGCAGGGAATGGGACACAAATGGGAGCAGGAGTCCCAAACAGTTCAAGATCAGTGTCTCAACTACCATACTGTTGAGCACTGGCGCCTATAGGCAGTCTCATAGGAAAGGCATATTCTTCTTTGGGAGCTATGACCACACCCAAGACCTAATCCTGTCTTTTTTAAAGGCCTGCTTTCTTATTCAGTCCTAGCTGTCATCTCCTCCTTCCACATGTAGACAGTTTAGATATTCCCTCTGTGGTGTGGCAGGGACTTTTTTTCTCTTCCCAGGAAGTTTATTAACCTTTCCCCCCACTTTATGGCAGTGGGATAATTAAATCCTATCACCTCCCATGGAAATGTGTTCCAGGAACTTCCACTAGTTCTTATCCCTGAGAAAGGCAACTGATTGTTATATTTGTGTGACCTCTGGAGGGCAATGGTCCTGTAATAATTCTCATAGCCCAGTAATGTCACCGATACTGTACAAAGCTTTTTAAATTTTAACCATCTATCTTCAGCATTCTAATCTTCCATTGTATGTATAATAGTTTGAGTGTTAATTTAAGGAGAGAGATTCTTGTTTTTCTTCAGTGTTACAATCCAGTAGAAAAGCCAGTAGGAGACTACCTTTATTAAATGGTGTTTTTCCTATGGCCAAGGAACTAATTATGCACTCCTTAGTGTCAAATGCAATCAGAATAAAGGTCAGAAATTTTGTTATTTACACAACCAAGGGATCTGATCTCTGAGGTTTCAATCAAATAAAATAACGGATCAAATTAATCAATCATTCAGTAATGAAGAAAGCTCTGTATTTTTTTTTTTTTGCACTACCTTCCTTTACATATGCTCTTTCTTGACCATCTCATCTCTAGATCACATCCTCCAGAATCTAACCAAAGGAGCTAGGTGACATCTTAAAGAGAGTAGGCAAAACTGATATTTAAAAGGTATCTTGGGACCAATTTACAGTAATGATTATCAGCCAGAAAACAAGGTAGGCAATGATCCCCTCCAAGAAACTCTGGGGGCGGGGTCACTTGAAAATGGGTGCATAAAATATCATTGTTGGCATTATTTAGGGCAGGCCAAAATCACTGTGCAGATTACACTCTGAGCAAGAGAAGATGTATCTATAGGTAGATCATGGTGTTGTGCAACAACACCACATGCATTACGCTTTATGCCTCCTAAAATCTATCCAGGGATGTTTTCCACAGCTCAACATGTGAAGAGTCTCTGGACTGTATACTGGACAGTTGGGGGGAGACAGGATTGAGTCACAACAATTGCTCACTATTGTTTGCATTGTAGATACAGCTGTGAGTTGTAAGTAGCCCAAGAATGTGCAGTGGCATCGGAAATGAAGTTCCCAGAGCAAAACGTCACCATGTTATAGAGATCTGTATTCATTTTATGTAACAGTTTTTGGTCTTATCAGTGTGGCAGAGAGTACACAAATGGGAGATGGGCATGTGGAAGAGGGAGCATGTAGGCCTCAGTTATGCAAATTGATCCATGTGGACAGATCCCAGCCACCATGCAGAAAGTAGAATGACTTCAGTGGGACTCTCTGCAGGCATGAGTCAGATCAGCTTGCAGGATCAGGACCAGTCCAGTTTTACATCCTATGCTCCTATTACTCTACTCTCAGCCATAATTAACTGCATTAAAGTCAATGAAATTAAACCAATGTAAACTGAATGTGAGAGCAAAATCAGGCCCTATATCTATAGGGCAATAGGAGACCAGTTTATGAAAATGTAAACAGATAATTAAACTAAAAATGACACAAAGAGTTTATCTTGAACCACAGTGCTCTAGATACTAACCAGTTCCTGATGACTGCTTGTTGTTGGTAACTGTCCAAATTATAAAGCACACAAAGAGATAATCCTACTAAGACTTGCAATCTTCCAGGTCAGAAAGAACAGTAATCTTAATACCCATATTGAAATCCACAACCAACTGCACTTCACTCAGTTGTATGAATAAATAAATGCCTGGCATGTTGCTCAAAGGATATATCATATTTCATTTGGGTTTTCTGATAAAATACACATCATGAGCTAGATTCCAATCTGACAGTCTGCTCTAAGTAAGAGCAACTAGTGTCAGAGTCAATTAGATCCTGCTGCTCTCTTGCTGCATAAGGGAAGTAATATGTGCCAGCCCCTTTCCCAGTACAATTTACATCCCTCTCTGTGCCAGCACAGCTGCCCTCTGGTGTGTTGAGGGAGGGGGATTCAAGGCTCCACCCACTCCCTGCCCACCAGAGTGGGAGACTGATGGCAGCTGCTTTTCCTCTGTGCTTCTATTCTCAATATGGATAGCAAGGTCAGAAGAAGAAGTAGGCTCCTTATGTCCTTTACTCACCAGTGCAAGCATATAGCATGGGCCATAATCTTGCCTTATATGTTTAATGCAGCCATTCTTACACACAGAAGAGTCTCATAGGGAAAGCTACACATGCAAAAGCTTAAACCATTAAAAAAAAGCTTCTGTATGTTGTTTAATTGTGAATTAAATGTATGAACACTTATTTTAGAGATTTGAAATATGTTTAGTTTTGCTTCCCTTTATAGAGAGTTAACACATCAGAGGTGAATCAGCTGAGATTTGAACTTGTGGGTCAGTTTTTAGAGGCCTTCACTGAACAGCTAAAATTAGCCACACCAATTTCTGCACAGACATTCTTCACTCCTGTATTTTTGTATATTCATATTTCATGCTTACACATTTTTCCCATCTAAAATTTAGGCACAAAAAGATGTTGACACATTTAAAAACTGGTTTTGAAAAGGTGATCCTTTGTTTAATAGAAGTATTTGTCTCTGTGAAAGATTAAAATAATTTAAAACCTTTCACCCTGAACAGTTCATTATAGTGTATCACCTCAACACATGCTGTAATTTACATAAGGGAAATCCAGGATTACTGGTGTATATGGAACACGATTCTCAGAGAAAAGTTAGAAAATAGATGGGAGGTGAGAAGAAGCTGCCAAAATATGTCTTTAAAATGTTTAGAATTAGAACCCATTTCGTATTATTATTACAAATGATTGAGCTGAAGGGAATTTTTCAACAAAATTATAAATGTATTTTAAGCTTTTTAAACAAGACACTATTTTTACAAACTCTTCAAAAGAAGAAAAATGTAATAAAGAATACAACCATACTTTACCTGACGAGGGGTCCTTTCAGATTTGCTCCTGCACCATTCCCAATCTGAGAGTTCCGGTTTGCGGCTCTCCTCATGAGACAGTCTTCTTTCCTGTGCTTCAAAAAATGTGGATTTGTCAAAGTTTCTGACCTCCTCTCTTTTAAAGGGCCCCATTTTGTCAGAAAGAAGATACTCCATGCTTTTGTCCTTGCCAAGTTCTTGTTCTGTCTCCATGCTTTTGCCCTTGTTGAAATCTTTAAACATGGAGCTATCCTCTATGGGTATGGTGCTGAACTCAATTTTGGCTGATTTAAGGATTTTGCTGCTATCTTTCTGAGATTCTTTTGTGTTGTCACAGTCATAGTTCATCAGGTTGTGATATGATATAGAGTTATCATCATCATCATCATCATGGAGGTGGTTTTGGTTTTCATGGGATATTTTGTAGATTCCATAACCTTGTTGAAATGACAGATTGAATTCAAACCCCCTCCTTTTTGCTAAACAGAAAGGGAAAAGCTTCTGTGATTAAAATATAAAAAATTCGCATACAAGAAGGACAAGTAGAAAATGTAAAATGCCTAATTTTGCCTGTAAATTTAAAACTAAAGTACAAGTTGGTTACTTTTAACAATAAAATTTTTGCTACCCATAATGTATGAATTATTATGGAAAATTAAACACTAACCCTAGCATTATATACTCAGGTAATTAGCTTATTCATTATAGGCACTTGGATAATTAGCTTATTCATTCCTTTGTCAAAGCATGGTAGAATTTCTATGTTCTGAAGGTGGCTGTGTCAGAAAATGGGAATAGTTTTGCCCATCATTTTGAAATAACAGAATTTACAAAGCCTTATCAAAGTCATACTAGAAGTAAATACCCATATTATGGCTCATTTTGCAATATATCTCAGTTTCAGCTAATGAAAAATTCTCCAAAATCAAAAAAGATAACATAGCATGCTTTCAGAAAAATATACTTTAAATAAAAGAAAAGTGGGATTGGAAAGGATCTCAATAGGTCATCGAGTCGAGTCCCCTGCACTGAGGTAGAGCTAAGCAATATCTAGACAATGCCTGAAGGTGTTTGTCAAACCTGTTCTTAAAAACCTGCAGTAATTCCACAACCTCCCTAAGTTCTTCTGAGAATCAATCAGAACTGTTCTTCAGTGCCAACAGGCAAATAAGAAAAATAGATTTTGACATTAGAAAACAATCATGTATGTGAATTAATTCTATAATCATCTTACCTTCATACTGTATATAGAATTACATGCTAATATCAGCACTCTGGCTATTTATTTTAGCTGATATAGTAGTTTAGGAAATAAGGTAAGAGTGCTGTACCTTCACATATCCTCCTAATTACTTCTCTCCTCTACCATAAATCCCCTCCATTTCTTCCCCCTGATGTTCCCCTTTTCATACTACTTGATACAGTAATTAAAGGTGTGTCTGTTATCAAATCATGAAAGCATCTTCCTATAAAATCTACATAAGAATATTTTAAGAAACAAAATACAGAGAACCATTTATAAAGAAGTACCTTAATCAGCCTATAGATTCTATTTTTAACAGACATTAACTGTGAAATCACAAACTCAATTACTGTTAAAAACCTTGAATAGCCTTTAGCATGAACACCCTAAAACAAAACATTTTCTATTTATTTAACTATATAATTATTTCTTTATTATCATCATAAGCTAAGCTCTGTTGATATTATATTAGATTCAGAGCAAAGCTGTATCTAGAATGAATCTTTTCTTGGTGAATTGCACTCACTCTGCTTGTAAAAGGAGTTAAAAGTTGGTTTGGATTTGAAGGAAGCCTCCAAATCAGAAAGAATTTCAGCCAAAAAGTTCACTCAAAAGGTGCTTTTATGTAGATCATGGAACTTGTTCTCTTCTCATTTACTCTGATGAGAATCAGGAGTGAACCCGTCAATGGGTGTGTATAGGGAACAACAGTATAATTCTAAACAAATTGATGTCAATGAGTGTCTTTCTACTGACTTTAATTTTCTATGGATCAGGCCCTACATGTGCAAGTAGTTATCTCTGCTGAAGGGCTACTACAGAAAACTATTGTAATTATTGTATGTGAATGTAATTGCATCACTATGAATCCTAAATTAAAGATAATGGAAGTGACCATTTTTTCTATTAATGTTATTTTCCATGATAATACTGACAAAGACTTAAATTCCACTCCCTTCTTTGTGTTAGTTTCCCTTAATATAACACATTTAGTATAGATTTATAGAGATTTAACAGGTACAGATAAATTAATTTCTTTTAGCACATTTTTATTCCTTAATTTTCTATCATTATTATTTTTGCAAGATGTTTAATCAGTTTTAAGCTGTCCCATGAAATCAGGCACATATGCATATACACACATGTATGTGCATGATTATATCAAGTGTACTATAATCAGAGACCCTTGAGTGGATATTACTAGATATTTTAAGCATCATTACATATTTTAATAACCAGCACTTCTCTTAGAAAAACAGTGGGAAATTATATTTTCATTTTAGCCTTATTAATTCAAAACTTCTTTCTACTATTCAGATAAGTGTGGGGGAAATCAAAGATACTACACAAGGAACTAAAAGCTACAAAATTACATATAAACATCAGGAAATTCTAATGGAAGGACTTTAGCCACAAACCTGAAGAGTGATTCCTAGTATTAAAAGAACTCAGAGATATATTCATAGACATATCAGCAGTTTCCCTATCTTGTACTTACATATTTGAAGACCACCACAAGAACAATGAAGTTTTATTAAAAATATCCATTTTCTCTCTACATATTTAATTCTTTATAATTAGGGATCCTAGAAATCTGTTTGCCCCAGAATTTGCATTTTCACAAAGAATTTTTAGTTTTTACATTATGAGGGGAAAAAAAACCATGCTCAGCAGAACACTTTATTCAAGCCTCCATTATCCAGCTCTCAGTATTAATCAAATCAGGACTGACAACCCCAGGTGACTCTGGCTGATGGCCCCACGCAAGGTTGACAGCCTAAGGCTGATGTTCTTTGCTCATTCAGTGAATTTTCTGAATTATAGACTGATCTGCCCCTGGTCAGAGTGGATAAATGGAGTTCCATTGCATTTTATGGCTTGGGAAACTAAAGTTCAATGTTTCACCTTGATCATAAAAATCCTTACATTTCTGTGGTTATTCATCACAGAAAACTAGGATTCCTATTTATAAGATGATATTTATTTAAAAACTTTTAAGTGTGTTTACAGCTGTGACTCCATAACAGCTCTGAACCAATCACTAGGGTACAGGTATGTCATCATACACAGACTTTTGTTAATCAGAAGTTGATTTGAACTCATTTCTATACTGTGTTCTTATTTGTTAACATACTATAATCTTCAATACTTCAAGTTACCTTTGCACTAGCAACTGGTATAAGGGTCAGGAAATACAATTTTTTCTTTCAGTGGCTGTGGAGATATTGCAGTACATATTTTAAATATATGGGGTCAAACACTGAGATGTCTTGTCCCACTGCTTGAGGCATCAAATGGCCAACACAATTAGAGAAATCTGCCGATAGTGTATACATGTCCTACCATTTAATTACTGCAGACTGGAAGAGCCATGGAACACTATCTCTGCATAACTTCTGCGGCTCTGGACAGGGAGGGGAATATGATGGGGTATGTCTACAGACTAGGATTCCTATTCCGAACTACCTAGTTCAAGCCCCGTGTAGCCGCGCTGCACGGGGTTCGAACCAGCGGCGTTTTAAAAATGGCGGCTCCCCGCTTATGCAAATGAAGCCCGGGAAATTCAAATCCCGGGCTTCATTTGCAAGTGCGGTATGCCTACATTACCCCGCTAGTTCGAACTAGCAGGGTAGTGTAGACATACCCATGATGTAGACAGAGGGGGAGTGGGAATGTTCTCCGTACTTCTGCACTCTCATGCGGGCTCGCTGATGGAAGCTGCCTGCCAAGCACAGCTGCATCTTTAGTGGAGTAAGATATGTGAGCAGCAGAGATGGGAAGATGGACAGACTGGAAAGAAGGGACAGCCAAAGAAGGCTCATTGAGAGCAGTGCCAGAGCCTCTGTTGCATGTGGTAAATGCTGAGCTGGATCCTTTCAGTGAGCTCTCCATGGAGGCCCAGCAGGGTTAAACACTGGCAGGGGTGGGGGGAAGATCTGGAAGATTATTCTTGGGAATTGAAAACCTTCAATCTCACATGTGGAAAAAGGGAAGTGTCTGAAATATGTGAACAAACATGGGGGAAATGGGAGGTTTAACAAGCACCCTTAACTCCAAATGAAGTCAATGGGAGTTCAGGGCACTTGGCTCCCCATAGAATCACAGCCTTTGTTGTCCTGTCAACACCCACAGCCTCTCAGTGGCTGGTTGATGGATATGTGGGTAGTAGGACCTGAATGGCCTTTTCTCTCATTGACAAAATTCCTGTAATTCAGGGACATGAAGTCACTCAGAATTCAGATGTATTTTTGCCTTGCTTTAAAATATACTTAGCACAGTCAATGTACTTTATTAATGCATGCCATATTTTGGCAGGTGTATTTTTAGGGAGGGAATGTTGTCCAGAGACTAATGAAGGTGTCAGAGTTTGAACTCCTAGTTTCTTTTAAAAGGGTTGACAATGACTCACTGTGTGGCCTTGGGCAGTCAATTACTGTCTGTGTGCCTCAATTTCCCTGGCGGTAAACTGGACTAATAATGCTCTCTACCCATTTCACAGGGATGTTGCAAGGCTTTTTTAAATTAATGATTATGAAAATCTTTCAGATCCTCAGATGAAATGTGCTACGGGAGTGGAGTATTGTGACTGTTACAGACAACTATCTATGCAATCTACTATAAAATTTATTCTAACAGTCTGTTGCTATATGGAACATCACTTGAGACAATATCCCATCCTTCAACCTTCTGCACTTACTTTTCCTTTCTTCTGAAGAAATGGTATATGCATTTCTTCTGCAGTTAATGATACAACCACAAGGCAGGTGGATCCAGTGTTCTGATAAAACAAACACAGGGGTGACCGTGGTAGCTAGTAAAGTCAGCAGAAAACTGAAAGTCTCAAAGGAAAGGCTTTGAAAACCAACTATGTGCTGGACAGCCATCTGTATCTGAAAGGCAGAAATTAAATCACTTCAGTCACACACTGTATTTCCAGGAATAACAAAAACATCCCGTTGTTAATGTGACAGAAATAGAGGTCACAGATTTTCATTCATTTCCTGCTTAGCTTTGTGGCTTTGACAGATGCTAGAAGACAAATGTGCTCATACAGTCCCTCTCCCTGTCTGTCCCTGTATTTTTCAGAATACCTTATGCTGCAAAGGAAATGATAAATATTGATATATGAAATCTGCCAAAGAAGCAGCTCCGATTCCAAGCAATTCTTAGGGATGACTGAGCCAATCCGGTGAGGTGCTGAGTATGCTCCTCTCTCAAAGTCAATGGGGTTTGAGAGCACTCAGTACCAACCAAGATTGGGCTTCACACACATTATAAATTCTTATTCTTTATGGAAAGAAGCTGAGAGGCTGAGTCCAAACACATCCATAGGTCAAGGACGATACTGAACAATTCCCAACATGTCAATATGCCTAGCTCACTTGTTATCCTTTGTTATATTTATCCTTTCCATATATTGCAACAAAATGTAATAATGCTTCAATAATTACAAAGACATAAATATTCATCATCACATCTTAGACAAGCTTCAGTTTCTTATTCAGCAATGACTGGCAAAGGGCGTGACTCAGAACCATGAGGCTAGAGAGGAAAAAAACTGCCTTAGTAAACTCACAGATATCAGAGAATCAGCCTCATGCTTCCCAGATTGCCTGAAACACAAAACCTTGAACCTGATTTACTCATACCATTAGTCTAGCTCTACGCTGGGTTCATTGGAGTAACACTGATATAAAACTGGAATAACAATGATGAATCTGGCTTTTCATTTTTACAGTACACTGATTTTGTATCAATCCTGATGAAAGCTAGATAAATACATACACACACAGAGCTCTGTTTGAAATGACTTCTATGGGTCTGGTTTACACTGTTCATAATTGCTGGATGACTAGCATGCATCTCTGTTTCAATTAATACCACACAAACCCACTCTGTATGTAAATAAATCATTAAAAGACACAAAGAATTCTGACTTTTTACCATCATCGGGAGCCAGAGAATGACTTTTGTCAGTGCAAGAATCAGTGAGAATCGTTTCTGAGCAAACTCCACAGTGCAGCTCCTGCTCTGTGCACTGTTTGTGCAATGGGGGTCCAGCCCACAGCTCTCAGCTGGGCTTTGCCTGAAAACTATCTCCGAGCTGGGACAGGCACTTCGGAAATGCTTCAGGGTTTTATCCACAGGGTCCTCGAGAGAAAGGGATGGGGTGGTGCTACAGACTGGGGGCGTCCCAGGGGTGAAATAGCCTCGGGTGATTTCCTGGTAATCGACATAAAGATGCTGTTGCTCATCTGAGCACAGCAGCTGGTAAGTCAAAGGGACAGAAAGCACGGTGAGAAGGCAGAAGCACAGTGAGTAGACAATGAATAAAAACAGGACATAGGAACTGGTCCAGTCAGTGAGGCAACCCCAGGAGGTGGGGACATAGGTGCCCCAACCACAGAGAGGCAAAATGCACACCAGCAAGCTGACAATCCAGATCGTGAGAATGGCCCATATCATGCTCACTGTCCGCTTGGAGATCCACTGAGTCCACATCACAGTTTTATTGATCGCGTAGAAGTTGTAAGAAACTATAAGAGTACCTTTCAGATTGCTAGAAATGCCCTGAAATAGATAAAGCAGGGCTGATGTGGTGCATAGAGGCTGGGGGAGCGTCTCATTTGACCACTGCATGAACATAAAGATAGTCACTGGCACTACACTTATCAAATCATCCACAGACAAAGAAGTCACAATCATTGAAAGTGTGGTTTTGTTTTGAATTTTCAGTAAGGAAACCAGTGAATAAATGCTGCCCAGCAGAGTAATGAGTGTAATTATAAACGTCAAGCAAAAAAGAAAGATATTCAAAGTTCTTTGTCCTTTGGGTATATCCATAATGCCATGATTTTCAGTAGAGAGACTGGTCCCATTCAGGGGGAAAAGACTAGGTGTTACTGACATAGTTGTTAGGGATTTTATTTTGCCTTCTCACCGGCTCTGCAAGTTTTCATCAGATGAATCATAACCGCTCCACATAGCAAGTTTCCTCTTTGTTGTCCTTTTTGACACTTGATCGGGATACATTCAGCTGTGTGTCTCCTCTACCTCCAGGATAATTCATATGCACAAAGCAGGCTCCATCAAGGGAAACATTAACACAAGTACCAAAGAGCAGACGATGATGACAAAAAAGCAATTCCTCCTTAAAACACTTTGGAGTTTGAGCTGGTTCTTTATAATCCTTCCCAGTGCAAGAGGATGATTAAGTTAATAAAATATCGCTATTGACAGATAGCAGACAATATGCTTTACTCGAGAGTTCAGTTGAAATGAAGGCAGGTATACTCAAGACCTACTGGTTCAGGAAGAAACATAGTAAAGAATGAGAAGCTCTTGGATTCAGCCTTCACTGTACAGAGCTGCAGGAGGGAGGAGTCAGATCCAAGCAGGATAGCAGAATGGGGGGAAATTAGTATCTTTCCAGGCAGAGCTGCCTCTTCGCTAGATGAGAAACAGAAAACAGAATCCTTTCTAAGCCCCACCTCCAATGCTGACACTAAAATCCAATGCAAATACTCAGACCTGATGTCAGCCATAAATGTCATCCCTGAAAGCCCAGGGCTGTTCCACAGCTGTGCATCACAAGCTGGAGAGCTGCTTTTATTCTTACTATATTTTCAACATTGTGAGCATGGAAAAGGGAAAAGCTGCAAAAACCTTTTATAAAGGTTGAAATGGAAATGTGAGTCCTCTTTTCCTTTTTTTATTCTCACTCCAGCTGTATATATGTATGTGTAACTATACACACACACACACACACACACACACACACACTCTGACAACACTAACAAAAGGTTGTTACAGACATATAGCAATCAGCAGCACAAACTGGCAAGTTGCGCGTTAGCTTTGTTATGGATCAACATCAGTTTGGGGGGGGGGGTCCATTAACTTTTAGTCCATAGAAAAAGATTCAGATCCAAAGAGCATCCAGTACTGAATGAACACTGTCTTTTGACTATATGCAGGCAAGTCAGCACATTGTGTACCTTTTGATAGGTATTTTACATTTAGTAACTATAAGATGCTGATCATACTGATAAATTGACGGTTTTGGCAAGAGGCTGGCATTATGCTGGCAGGCAGGTAGAAAGCAACTTTTTTTGCAGAATTCTGCCTCTCCGCTCTTACCAGCAACCATGCTGCTATTTAAGTGCTGGCTTTGGGTGTATCCATAGCACGGCAGAAAGTCTTTGCTTAATCCTATGATTGTTTAAGGCTGCTATAGATTAGCACTAAAATGTGACTGAACCACCCCACGGTCATTTCACTTGTGATTTATGCCAGTGAGGGCTTGATCTTGGCCTCTCTTCCTCAGGCTTTGTATTGCTCCAGCAGTGCAAAGCAAATGAAAAGATGGATTACTTGGCCATTTGATGAACTGCTCATGGTAGGAGGGCAGGGCCAGAAGGAAGGAGTATTGCTGCTGTCCAGTGAGCTGATACTGAACAACCCCTTGAGGATTATAACAACATAGAACAAACTTGAGGCTGCTCTAAAGCCTTGTCTGCACTAGTAGTGTAACATTGGTTATGTGGGCTATCCACCGCAGTGAAGAGCAGAACACTACACTGCTAAAAATATGTCAGGCACATTTTGGGCATGTAGCGCTTTCTCCATCTATACTGCTTTTAATACCCATGCCAGGAGGTGAATGCAGAGAATATACTTGTTATACCACCATAAGGAGTGTAGACATATTCTAAGTTGCTCCTTCGATCTGAGCTGGAACCCCGAGGTTCAGAAAGCTGCAAAAAGTGGCTAATAAACACCACAGTCCACACCCCCAAGCTGTCAGCTCAACTCTAGATGTGCTCCTATACACCTTGCCTTTCTCATAGTAGAGGATTGCAACTTTTCTGACCTACCTGGTCAGAACAATGGCCCTCACCCCCTGTGTTGCCCCCTAATGGCCGTTGGGAGGTATAACATGTCTTCCCTCCCTCTTTTGCCCTTAGTGACGGTTGGTTATAGAGGATAGGTGCCCCTGTTTTCTGCCCTGAGTTGTGCCTCTTAGCCTTTCGATCTGCCTTTCCTGCCTTTTGACCCTCTTCTCCCTTTCCTCCTTCTCTCCCTGTTGTCCTCGTGCCCGTTGTACTTGGACTGCTTTCGTTCCCCTTCTCTCCCCCCCATTGTGGGTTACCTCCCGCTTCCTCAGTCTACCTGTAGTGTTGTTTTGTGGTATAGAAGTATCTACGCTCTGTGCTGGCTATTAACTGGGGTGGCCACTTTTTGCTCTTCTTCCCTCACCCCCACCATTTCACTCTCCATCTGCCTACTGCATGTTAGGTAATCTAGCCTTCTCTTGTTTACTCTCGGCCTCCTCTCCTGTGCTTCAAAAGTTACGTGTGTCTTCCCCCCCCTTCCTTTCTATGCCTCCTCTGTTGTGTTCTTCCCCTCTCTCTTTCTCTGCTCTCCTTTGTCCCCGTTGTGCAATACGGCCGCCCTTTCCTAGCTCCACTGTTAGTCGACTGTTGCGGCTGGGCTGCTCCAATGTACATCTATGGCTCCTTTCCTTAAAAGTTGATTTACAAATGACAATGCTTCTATCTGGAATCTACTTTAAGCCAACCACAGTTCCCTAAATCTTGAGATTAACAGGCCAACCCTGTTTGTGATTACTGTCAGGAGACAGGAAAGAGGCATCACAGTATGTGCTGTCATTTTTATTTCAGCTGACCTACTCTCAATGTACTTCATTCTTTTTTAACCTACACAGAGGATAGATAGGTCAATTTACTTATCAATTCTGTGCTACGGCATTCCCTTCTCTGACAAAGTCTTTGCATAGACCATGAATTTCTATCCTTGAAAGAGACTACAGCTGGATTTTCTGTAGGAAGCCTCCCAATACTAAAAGTGGAAATTGTAATAGGATTCATTGTCAGTATTTCCAGGACATTAAGACGGTTGCACACACACTTGATAATTAAAAAAACCCCACAAAACAAAACAAACAAAATGTGTTAAAACACAGCAGTTACAATGCAGCCTAATTAGAAATGTATTTTCCTTTAAAATGATGAAGGTGACACAGGTACTAGACTCTGTGGCTATGCCTACACTACAAGGTTTTTGCGCAAAAATGGCCTTTTTTGCATAAAAACCGTCAGTGTCCACACCTAAAGTGCATTTTTGTGCAAAAGCCAACCAACCAACCAACCAACCAAAGAAAACATACAAACAAACAAACAAAACCAGTACATCGAAAGGACAGAGGACTTTTGCCAGCAGAGTTATTCCTCTTTCGACAAAGAATAACTCCTTTTCACGCTACAGCTCTTGCACAAAAAGGCAGGTGTGGATGTTCCGCAGGGGTTTCTTGCACAAAAAAAGCCTATTCAAAAAAGCACAGCTACTCTGATGGCCATTCTATTAATGTCAATCCGAGCTTTCTTGAGCAGGAGCGTCCATGCTGTGTGGACGCTCTCTTGTGCAAAAGCACATCACTTTTGCAATGTGCTTTTGAGGTGTGGACGTGCTTTTGCACAAGAAGATTTTGTGGAAGATCTCTTCTGCAAAAAGCTTCTTGTGCAAAAACCCTACAGTGTAAGCAAAGCCTGTGCGTGTGTGTTTGTGTCTACACGTACCTTACTAAAAATACAGGGACTTCTGAAAATGGAGATCTTCTGCTTTAATATAGGCTCTTGAGACATTACACTGACAATTAAATACAACATTCTGTATGACACTGTACATAACCAGTTTTTCAGCATTCCCAATAGTGGGCACATATTAACCTTCAAGTAAGAAAGAAAACAAATTGACAATGACTGTAGCTGTTAAGCTCACTTGCTGTCTTTGGTTTAATGATATAGCAGGCCCGTATGCAGGTGGGGTGTAAAGGATGCAAAAGCACCACCCCGTAGTCCCCTAAGTAAACATGCTCCAGCCAGCCAGGGGAAGGCAGGAGTGGCACACTGCCCATGCCTCCCTCCTGCATATTCTGGCTGGCCAGGGTAAGGCTGGGGCTGATTTCCCTGCTTACTTGGGGGACTATGGAGGCTGCATTTCATGCCCTTGCAGTCCACATTTATAAAAAAAACACACCCCACATAGAAATTCCTGCATATGGGCCTGTATATGACTTCTGATCTCCAGTCTGGGATTCCTCCTTTATGGTGTGGTCCCTCTCTCAGTCACTGCGACCTCTTTAAAATTACAGGCAACTGCACTGAGATTCAGTCTGGGTTACCCCATGGCAACTCTAGATTCTCCCTGCAGGGCAGGGCTGCTAGTTTTTACCCCTAACATCACTCACTACTGAGTGGAGATATGTGTGTACATGGAGGAAAGCTTGCCCTCAATGAAGCTTCTACATCAGCTTCAAAACAATTACTGAGCATGGTTAACAACTTCCAGCACTCCCTTAAAATGCTGCAATAGCAACTATTTCTATGCAGCCATTCAAGGGTCTTTACTGCCATATTGTCTGAGAGCACGTAGAAACAATATCTGTAATTAAAACAGCCAGGGTTTTTGGCTGATCACAATAAAATAATAAGAAATAGGAGTTATGCTTTCATTCTCTGCACATGCCCCTGCTGGCTGGGCAAATTTCATCTGCACTGTTCTTCTTTTCACATTTCTGCTAAGAGACCTCCATGTTCTTAAGAAGCCTTCTTGATGGAACTTCCCTTTTTCTCTTGGAAAATTGTTCTTTGCTACTTCTTGCATCATGCTCCCACGATGTCCATTTACAGTAGATTTGAAGGCTTTTCCAGGGGATTGCTCAGCTATCAATGTCAATTTCACCTACCAAACAATGTATTATGTGTATTTCTTTGCTGAAAGCAAAGTCACATGGTTTTGTTTGTTCATATAGGGCCTTCACACTCTCCAGATATTGGACCCTATGGTAAATGCACTCCTATTTATGAATTATATTCCTGTTTGGAATGAAATGCTCATCACACATTTTAGAACCAAGTGAAGGTATTTTTTAATCCTCTTCCTCAGCAGAGGCAAACAATGTATAAGTAAATTCAGCCTCACTCACCTCACTCAATAAATTAAAAGATCTGATATGCACCTTGCCACACTTATTTCAGCTTTATTGCAATTTGAAATACAGTGAACCACTTCCTCCAGTCAGGATCATTCCATGGCTTTCTGAAACAGAACAGCATTTTCTTTTCCACTTATTTATGCTAATTCAACATGAGTCTGACACCCTGCAAAAGAACAATGGTAAAGACTCTCAGAAAGAGTCATGTTTTTTGCTAACACTGAAGAAGGAGCTTTGGAATCCATCTGAGGACAAGCTCTGAATTGGAGACACCCAAAAGAAAAAGCTGGACTGACAGTCACACTATGGCTATGTCTAGACTGTAAGCCTCTTTCGAAAGAGGCTCTTTCGAAAGATACTTTCGAAAGAGCCGCTTTCGAAAGAGAGCATCTAGA